AGAGAGTGCATTGCGAAGAAGGAAGTCGAGCTCAAATATGTGAAGTCTCATGATCAAGTTGCAGATATCTTCACAAAGGCTCTCAAGTTTGAAGATTTTCAAAGATTGAGATCAAGACTTGGAATGAAGAAGAAAAATCAAAATTAAGGGAGAGATTTGTAGGACCCAAAAAAAAAGTGAAACATTGAAAAAGATGAAAAAGATGTCAAATTAGGTGGCTTGAAAATTGAATGGGCGGCTGACGAAATTGAATGGGCGGCTGAAGCAATTGAATGGGCGGATGAAAAAAGTCAATTTTGTTTTGCTGAGAGGTTGGCAACTTTGCCTATAAATAGAGATGCCTCCTTCTCTGTTAAACACACCAAAAAATAAAGAGAGAAGCAACATATAGTTAGTGAGAGTAATCCACAGATTATTGTCTGTGAGATAATTAGTAAGTGGTAGTAATATTGTAGTGAAGTGTGTTAAATAAAGAGTGTTATTTCTTTCAAAGTTGTAGTAGTTTCGTGACACTACTAAGTTGCAATATTATAGTGATAATATTGCTCCACTCGGGTATTATATTTTACCCCGCTAAAATATCTGGTATCATTGTTACTCTCTTGTGTTATTATTATTTGTTGTGGATATTATTCCTGGGCGGGATTATTTATTTTATCCCAACAGTCTTTACTATCATCCCTCACATCAACTCATTAAAGTATCAAGCAACATTCAGTCTCTCTTATGATTAGAAGATCTTTTTTTTAAGAAAATGAGGCTTAACATGCTCTTCTAAAGAATACTACATTTTGCTAAATATACCACAGTGAATCATGCAATTTACTGAAGGATCTATAGAGGTGTTTACACTATATAAACTCAGAAAACAGTTCAATGTAGGGGAGTGAAAATCCGATAATAAACTATCTCAAATGGTGTTATAGATTTAAGAAGTGAGAAGTCACAATTGTTATAATGGATGTATATCTAAGTTGTATCAGTCAAGTATCAATTTTTCTGTTGACGTAGCATGTTTCTTAATGTACAGTTGATTTATGAACTCTAGACGAATGATGGGTGAAGAGCTTTCTCGTCCGAGCGTCAAAGATTTACAGAACTTGGAGAACCAACTAAAAATGAGTGTATGTGGTGTTCGTGTGAGAAAGGTATGAAACTTCCACAACAAGGCCACTCACGGGCGCAAAAGTAAGATCCTTCTTAAAAACAGCTATGTTCATATTGATTTTGAAGTCAAAATTTTTCAACAGAGAAACACATAAGTAGAATGAAGGAAAAAGAAGCGAAGATTGATAAAAAAAATATCAATGTACAATCACAAGTGCTTATATAAGTTGATATATAAACTTGTGATATCAAAAAAGAAAATATAAACTTGTGTTCATTCAGGAGAAGCAATATGCAAACCCACCACTTACATGAGGTAAATACTAATATCTCAAAAGAAACTTGTGCAGAATGTGCAACAATAAACAAATGAATGCTTCTACATGGTCTTATATCTTATCTCTTTTTAATAGGAAAATTCTCATACCACTAATGGTATGTTCTTAGCTGCCGTTTTTGGCTCAGTTCTTTTTCATTGATAAAGAACTGATCTCACTCCACTGTATCATAGAGGTTCTCTACGCATTCTTCACATGAAACAAATCTCTTTGACAGTATGTTTACAATACCTTTCTGTGATTATGAGTACAACTCTCTTCAAGTACACCTATGCTCGCTCTCTCAAAAAAAAGTTTGTTTCAACTTGAGATTTTGAAAACCTTGCCTATTGCTTTCAACAGAGTATATGAATATACCATCCGTAGTTTTTGCTCCCTGCTACCATACTTAGGTAGTAATTATTATTGCCTTCGTTAAAGATAATTTAACTTCAAAGGACCTTTCGTCTGTGATGGTAAAAAGCTTCACAGGCTCTATGTCATTCATGGTTATTCTAACCTGCATCTTCAAACATACTTGCTTCAGTTCTGTTTAGGTTTTCATGGAATTGCTTATTGTTTGTTTAATCATCAATGGCTTTGTTAACGGGATTAATTGCTTAGGAATCCCAAGCGAGTCCCAACAGTTAACACCACCACCTACACATTTTCTCCCCACAAGCATTATGAGAAAAACTTAGAGAGAGAAAAAAAGGCCGGAATAGGGGGAAAAAGAGACTCTTTTTTAGCGCCTAGACACACTTGTGGTACAAACAATTTTATTCAGACAAGTCACATCTATCACGAGGCAATGTGGCAAGAATGAAAAGCCTCACTTTAATTCTGGTAGGAGTCCATATTTATACTCCTAAGCAATTAGAGTAAACAATTACTACCATATTAATGTCATTGAAAACTAATGTTTACCCGACACTGAGAGAGTATACTTTTAAAATTGTTTAGTAGAATTAACTAAAAAAGGAAGCAATACCATCAAATCGACTAAATATTAACATAATATGCTTCAAATAATGTACATTCATTTGCAAAACAAAGTTGTACAATTACATTCTTGAGCCTACTTTTATGAGAATGAGAAAGACAAAAACAATCAGCTTATTAATGTTCATGTTGGTGGTCCAGCTATGAAAAAATTGATCCTACAATTGGATAGAATCTGGAGTTTAACAACTATAGTTGGCAACACATACCTTCATCTTGGTATTTACTGAAAGAAAAGAAAACCAAGCATTAAAATCAAAACATAGCATAAAGCTAAATCTAGAATGATAAATGCAAAAAAAAATGAGAGAAAGGGATAGGTTTTTTGTTGTTGCAATTTAACAAGTCAACAAAATAGAATCACGGGGACTATAAGTTTATTTTGTGTATGTTAAAAAAAACTTAGAAAAAGTATTGTATCACTGTGGTGAATCAAAAGATGTGTATTATTATAACAGAGATTTTGTCTCAACGTGCACATTACATGACCTATTTGAATTAATATAATATTTTAGGCAATTAAAGTTTATTGCCGAGGCACTTGTCAAAAAGTTTTACTTGTGAGGTACTTATAAAAAGTCTTTATAGTAAGCCTTGCATGACAATCATAAATTCAGTTAGTTTAAAGGTCCGACAACTCAGGTAAAGAAGATACTATCTTGTCAAAGAAGCACTTATGAAACTTGCAATAATGCAATTATTATTCTTGAAAGAGATAGAGACGGAGAAAGTCAGGTTGTAATTTGATTACCTTTGTTCCCCGAGTATCCTAGGAGGGGATAATGATTACTATAATCGTTAAATCGAGGGTACATGTACATGTCCAAGTAGGAAGCTTCATAGTATACCTTTCCTAACGCATATGCATGGATCATCCTACAAACAAAAAAGGCACAAAACAAGGTACATACGTCCTACATTTGTTTTCTATTTATATATTACAAGAAGAAAATATGTGATTGTTCCCCTGTTGTCCTTCTATTTTCTGCTACCTCCACCCATTGATTCTCTTCTTTGCTGAATTTATTTGACCCGAATTTTAGATTCCTTATTATGAAGGTCATTCTCATCTTATTTATATCTATTTACCCTTCATAGATTCTCACCGTGATGAGTTGGCAACGTCTTGACTTGAAAAAGACCCATAAAATCTCTATTTGGATGTCGTATTCATCACACTTAGTTCTTTTTTTTCTAATTGTTGTATATACATAATTGGAGAACCATCAAAACAACAACTCAATAAAAAAAGAACAAATTGTTCTTGCTTACTGCTGTAATAACACGATCATCAAAGAACAAGAACAAAAGAAACTCAATAACATAAGCGGGACAATAATCAAGAAGAGGGCAAAAAACAGTTCAAATGGAAAATTTAGAAGAATCCTAAAAATTAAGCATAAAGAAAGCAAATTCATAATTGAACACCCAATAATAAAAGACACAATTAGCAAACATTATCCATCTGTAAAACTTTATTATCCATTAACACGCCAAAGAATTTGGGCAAAAGCAGTTCCAAACAGAAAATTTAGAAGACAGAAGAATTAAAGCAAGAGAAAGCAAATTCAGAATTGAACACTCAATGATAAAGAATACCAATTAACAAGCAACATTAACCAATCAATATGGAATTTTACGTGGGAAAACAAAAGTGGAGAGCTACATAATTGAGTAACAAGGGAAGAAAAAATTTGATGTAGCTCCAAATAAAGCTGTAACAGTAAATTAGTTCATATAAAAACCATTAGTAATTTAAAAGTTGCCAAGCCAGCTATAGTTCATTAATGCAGGTACGCAAATCTAAAAAAGGAGATAAAAGACGAAGAGCAGAGTACTCACTGTTCAGCCATCGAGTGTAAAGATAGCACAAAAGCCCAGCTACAGAAAAACAAAGAGAAAAACCGAAGCGAAACATGGGGTTTTCAAATATGCAAAAGCAAGGGCACCAAAGTAAACATACTTCAAGGGACAAGTATATAGCAGAAACCCACCGAAAGCAGGTGTTGGAGAGCTAGGAAAACACCTCACAGCACCAAAAGCAAAGAACTAGTTTATCTTCCACGTCAGAGGAGACAGGGGAAGGGGGCGTATGCAAGAGAGAGAAACAGAGCGCGAAGGGAAAGGAAAAAATTTACACATAACATAAAGACTAAAATACTCCTGGTTTTTAATGTAGAAAAGGGAGTTTATCGTAACTCCGGAAGTAGGACAACGAAGAGCTGCAACTCCCGCTTCTAAATAGTAGGGCTAGCCCATGCTAAGAACGAGCCCGAACTCATAATAGAAGTTTGAGTAGTTAGAGAGGAACCTAAAAATAGGATATAACTGCGATTACATATATAAAAGTAATAAGAACATAAATACACGACATATTTTAGAAATTCTACAATGGAGAGAGAACTTCAGTATATAATTAATGCCTCCTAACCACTCCACTAGAAAAACCAAGAAAATTGAGCTTCAAAAACTATAATGCACGCAACATAATGCATATACAATGTATAAATGATTGGCCATTAAAGATAATTTTAAAAGCTTCAACTATGCTGCAACCTAACCAGTGAAAAGATGTATAACAAAAAGTATGGTTAACTCTATTATTATTTCTCTCAAAAGAATTAGTACAATCTGGACACTTCAAAACAACCAAGAAGAGCATTTTTTGCTATGTGAGAGTCAGTACAAGACAGAATATATCGACTAAACATGTCAAAAGGCATTGACTAATTTCTCAGCTGACCTTCTGTACATTAGAAGCTCTCTGCTCGGTAGAGTTCCTGCACAAACCACATCATCAAAAATAAGAGATTCTAATTATATCAACGGAAGCTATGTCTAAATCACAAACAGAAAGTGTAGCTCCAGTTGAAACAAACAGAAATTCAAATTTATCCTCCGGCAAGAAAACCTTTTTGAACCGAAAATCTAAGTACACTGAATGAAAACACATGAAAATAGATGTAAAACAAGGAAAAAACGATTACCTAGATGGAAGAATGGCAACAAAATGGTATAGAACTTAGAAAAAGAAAGAACAGTACATAACACATGTAAAGCCACATTCGGAAGAAAATATTTCTTGGTATGCTATGTGATTCAAATAAAAAGAAAGACAATGGACTAAGCAGACCATATTCAAGGAGCTTTATTTTTGGTAATGTATTGCTATAATTCCTGGATTTTATTCAACCACTTGAACAGTAATCGTAAGAAAAAATATCCGCTCTCAACTTGGTAACAGAAGAGAAGGAAGTTTCAGCATATATTATACATGTCCAACCTCACTTTTAATTTTTCTTCAGTCATGGAGTATCGAGAGCCTTCATTATTCTACTTCTTTTGGGTTTGGTAAGGTACTATTTAGTTTTCTAGGATGATGGCTTAGAAGTTTCTCATCAAGGTAAACTGTTAAAAAGAAAAAGTGATGTAATGGTTTCCACAGATAATCAGAGTGGGAATAAGGGAGTTCCATTGGTACTGTCAACCTCCAAAATTTTTGATGAAGTAAAAATATAAAAGTAAAAACTAATAAAACCCTCTCCACAGTTGTAGTTTAAATTCCCAACTCAAAGGTGGAAGAAGGAACAGATATGACAAAAAAGACAGCTCAGCTCCACAACTTCACCCTAAACCCTAAGACACTCATCATAATTAGCCAATGATAAAAAGAGGTAGTATTTCAATTAATCAACACCAATGTTAGATTCTCATAGATTTTTTATCTTCCCATTCTAAAGCTTCTCTTTTTCTTTTCCCATTAACTTTAGAAGAGGTACACAACAAAGTAGAGAATCTATATCAAAATATGATTCTTTAATTTTTACCAAAGACACCCAGTCATCAATACGAATAGGAAAATTACGAGTGCACGAAAAAGCAATCAAAGACAATAAACTATTCCTCAAATGTGCAAAATTATCTCCAACACCCTCAAACTCTCTCCTATTTTTTTCCCTGCGTACGATCCACAGAAAAGCTAATGGTACAACATTACATGCTATTTGTCTTGTTATCTTACTTTTACTGTATGGAAGTCTTCCAACTCTCTTTGTTAACCACAAAATATGCTATAGTCCGACAACCTTGAGTCAATAGTAATAGTCCTCGAATAGCTCAATCCACTTTTTGTACTTCAAAATGATTATATGTTTTAGTTTTCTAACAATAAATAACACAAAATATAATAGAATGACAGATAACTCTTAGCCAAAGTGGTTCATATATATTACCAATAGTTCTTCAGCTAGGTAAATAAAAAGTGATGTTTGTCATGGAATGTAAGTCAAATAAGCTCTTATAGTTTACAAAACAACAACATTCATGTTGCAGGAAGGAAACAATAACAAAATTTAAAAGAAAAAAGAAAGTAGCCTTAGAATTTTTATTGAATTGGAACGCTCCCTAAATTTTTAAATGGCCAAAACTTATACTTCCATAGTGATCTAGCCTGAAAAGGTTCGATTCGTACTCAGAGTGACCAGCTAAATAGGAGTAGCTAACAAGTACTGTAAGCATTTCGGAAATGGATGGCATTTTTGATTTAACACATATCAAAAACAGCTCAACAGCCTCCAACTCTACCTAAAGCAGAAATACCATCTGCACCTTCTCGCATTCTCCAATGTCTTTGGCCTCCCTGTCAAGCATTTAGCGACTATTGCATCACATTCTTCGTACATTTACATACCTCATAAGAAAACACATCAAATTAAACTAACACCCACAATAAAATCAAATCAAGTAAACTAAAAGTAAAATTAATTAAGTAAAGCTCTACCTCTCAGCATCAGCATTAGCAGCTTTCAAGTAAATAATTGAAGCGTCAAAAGCATTATGCTGCACATTTGAATCCGCTACATTCTTCCTAAAAATGGCCCTAAGAATTTTTTTTAAAAAAATCTAAAAATAAATACAAACACACTACATACACAAAGCATGCAGATAGCTACAAAGAAGATCGTAAATAAAGCAAACAAAAGTGACATCGTAACTAAAGTAAACCGTCATTTCAAACCTTTTAATTTTTGTGTGTTTACCACTCGTACCAGGGCATTTTCTTTGCCTCTTTCAACAACTTTTCGTCTTCCGACATCATTTTTAATGCATTTAAATTTCATATTATAAAGTTTCAATTCCCCCCATTTGTCTACCTGCAACTTCTCTGTAAGTTCTTATTTGGCAAAATCAAATCTAGAGCTCAATCTATGTTTGACTAAAAGTTTTTAAGCTCGAACCTCTTTTTTTGACTCAAGCTGGAATTTCCTTCCTTTCTTTCTTACCATCTTGCGTGATTTTAACTGCTTCCTACTTTTTCCTGAATCAACATCTTGGAGACTGGAATTGACATAGTCATATAACTCATCTAATTCAAGATTGTGAGAACTGGAATTTTTTCTTTGTTTCCTGAAGCATATTCCTTGGTCTTAATGAGTTCACACATCAATGTTATTTCAGGTGCGGTAACGCTAACACCTGAAGCTTCAGTAGACAATAATTACTCATTGGACCATAGTTGGTACCCTCGGGGACCTTTTTGCTTTAGTATGACAACTACTTTCCGCATTTCCAACCTGATGTTAGATGTGACATTTTTTCATAAACCTTTAGAGCCATTGTTCTGTTTCTCATTATTTTTCAGTAAGCATATACCCTAAAAAGGGGTAGATCCATTTATTTGAACATGTAGTAGGACAGGACAAAATTTGTTCCTGTCCTAGCTGTAATCTGATCAGCAAAAAACTTTTACTACCATACTACTATCTTATTTAGCATATAATTAAACCAGAACTTTAAACACAGGTAATCTAGTATAATCTTTATAGGACGTTTAGCAGATGATTATCAAATTCCATATCAGGAGACTACAGTTTTAGATTAAACAAAGTGCTGGATATATAAAATTTCTAATGTAGCCATCTTATTGCTTCATCATCACACTTGAAAAAATATAGCAAAATTTGATCCAGCAAGAGCTTAACTTAGTTTCATTGTTAGTGTTGATTCACCACAAGACTCATTCCAATGACACCGGATTCCTTCTTACCATATGATTCACAGAGTATTCGTCCATGTTTCAATATCGGGCTCAACCACATGATCGTATTATTGACACCAGTATTTCATTAATTTTTTTATGATCATTGTAGGAGCAAAAAAAGACAAAGCAATGCCTGCAAAATAGCGAATTTCCGCCCAAGATTTAGCCAGTGCGCATATTTCCTTAGTAATATTATTAAATATTTTTAGTCCAATCCTTTGTGATGATTTAATTTCCCAAAGAAGGTATTGCCTTGTGATGATATTCAAATGAATTTTGATTGAACATGTGGAAATACAAAATTTCTAGCAAACTTCACAAAGGAACTCTCTGATTTATGGCAGACTCAAGCATAAACCATCTTAAATGAACCAATTTGAGCAGCCTTTGCTAGCTTGAATCAAATGGTAAAAATTCATCTTATCCAACACGATAATGTTTGAGATTTAACACTTAGCAACAAAAGTTTACGGCAGGAGAGGCAAAATTTACCAGTGGTAGAAGAAAGATCTTCAAAGCCAACTGAAGCACAGCGAGCAACAGACTATTCTTCGTACTTTTGAGTCTCCAATCAACGGTAGCTTGAACAAGCAATCAATATCTGAGACAATAAACAACTATTTTCCCAAATAGTCAGAAATCTATTTCTGAAACGCTAGAATTCATCTAAATGCTATATTAATATGAATAGCTTCAAAGCTCATCTTGGCTAGTTGCAGAAAGGCAAATGGAATCAGATGAAGAACAAAAGGACAACGAAGCAACAGCTCCCGAGCCTCTGCGTCGTACGATTTTTGTGCCAAATCCTCGACGATGAAGATGACCGAGACAGAAATAGAACAGAGGGAAAGTAAAGACCTAAGGAAGGGCGAAGAGGGCGCCGAAGTGGCGAAAGGGAACGGAAAGTAAAAAAATTCAGAAGTCCACTTTCGTCAAACACGACAGATCCCTGCTTTGAAAATATGATGGGTCCCTCGGTATGGCCGCCTTTTTCAGGTTAGTGTTGCCCTTGTTGTTTACTTTTATTTACACAAAAAAACCAGAGAATGAATGAAGTCAGAAACTATTAAATAAGGCATAACAGTCATTTGGAAACCATGGCAAAAGTAACGCGCACAAAATTACTAAAATACCCCTACGGACGACGAAGAGCTGCTAACTCCCGCTTCTAAATAAGTAGAAAAATGATAATCTGTTATGAATAAAAGCAATTTAGTAAAACACGAACAAGAAATAAAGACAATTTAGTAAAACATGAACAAG